GTTTAAGCGGGACCCTGCCAGCTACTTTTGATTTACTTTCCGGAAGTTGCAGGTGAAGACTGAGACCAGAGGTCTGGGGAGAGGGAGAGGCTCCCGGGAAGGGAAAACTTTTTCAGTGTCTAAACCTCCGAGCCGAATGCAGGGTGTAGATGAAAGGAAGCAAATCCTAGATTTAGAAAGTCGAATTGCCATGGGAAGAAGAGAGATCAGTCTCTGATGTATGGGAAACCAAAATATTCATGAGCCCTGAAGGGCAGGAAGCAAGGAGAAGCACTTCCTGAATAGCAGGAAGTGGGGCTTGGAAACGGGAAGAGCAGCCAGTTCCACTAACTTCGTGGCCCCAAGGAACTCCTATGATCCTGACTGTCCACAAGAGAGGTCACAGAAGGTGCCCTTGGGGGTACTCAACCCCCAAACTCCATGCTTATCCAAGGACCAACTTTTTTCTCCCTACCATGTAGGGTCCGAGGGAGGGGCTCTCTTGCCCTTTACTCTCTCTCCTTTTTGAAACCAGCTAACTGGCAAGATTCTCTTCCAGAGATTCAAGAGCTGCCTTTGCCTAGTTCCCATCAAGATGGTATCCTCTCATGCCTTTCCTAGCCCCTTGGATGTTGCCGCAAATCCTTGCAGACATCACTCACAGGCCACAGGACGCAGAGGGGACATCTCTGCAGTCAGTGGGAAAACTATACCTTAACTCAGAAATCTGACTGCAGAGCTGCCTCTGGGGCTTAGGGCAGGGCCAGAGCCTGGTGCTGGCTTTGGTGTGGATATTTTCACTTGACTGGGAGCATCTGTGTAGAGGGGACCAGCTCACATTCCTTGCAGTGCCTGGCCGACAGTAGATGCTCAAGAAAAACTTATAAACATTGCTTTCAATACCATTATACTTTTCCATAAAAGATCCCTGAGTGTTTTGCACACCGTAAGCACCCAGCTTTTGGATAATCACTGCTTTCCAGAGGAGGAAATACAGGGTTTGCTGATATAGAGAAAAAAGAAAACAAAAATCTCTGTACTAAGATCTCTCATGCTAGGCAGTAGAGAGATACTTGACATCAATTTCTGTGGCCCCCTTCTCTTGATGCTATTTGAAAAAAATAGTGTGTGTGTGTGGAGGGGAGGTGGTGGTGGTGGTAAGATCTCATATAATAACACAATTGGGCACCACTGAGAGTTTAAAGGCAAAAACAGACTCACAGAACTAGGGGCAAGTGGATGATGGTTCTACAAGAAGCTCAGAAGAAAGATTTGTTTTATATCCTAGCAACAAAAACGTTGCAGAAAGTTCAGAATGTAACCAGAGACCTTCACATCTCTGCTGTGATTTTGGTGCATGGGGACGCTTCACAAACATTCTCCAAACAGTTGAGATCAGTTGGAGCCCAAGGAATGCTCAGGAAGACTGAAGCCCAGAACCTCCTGTGGTATTAACCCACGTGGTCTCTGAACATCTGTTTCTCCACCACCCACAACTCTAGTCTCTTGCCATAGTATGTACTTGGATGGTATGTTTTACTGAGCTACGAGGAATGTTCTGATATAAGGGGGAATCCCTTCTCAATAGAACATGGTTGTATGGCTAAATGGTCCATGCAAATCATCTTGAATTTGAAAATCCCACCAAGGAATTCCCAGATCATCAGGTAACCATAAGAGAGAGTATCTTACCAATGTCTGAACGATTTATCAAGCCTCAAAAGAGATGGCATAACTTTTAGGGAAGGAAATTTGCTAGAAACCCAGCCCTGATTTTCTTGGCATGAATGCAAGGACCCGTCTTCTTAACCTACTGGATTTAGTTATCTGCATCACTTTTGGCTGATCCAGAGTTTTAGGAAATCTGTCAAATGATTGAATATACTATAGACTTGAGTGGTATTCTTACACCACCAAAACTATTTGTCATTCATATCATATTGTTAACTCTTGGTCATCAGACTAGAAATTTTGATCCATGGACCAATAAAGAAGTTTATCTAGGATGGCATTAAGCAACATTGAAAAGGCCAGTTGGCAAAATTCTCTTTTCCAAATATTTAAATATTTAAATTAGGTATGTTGTATGGCTAAAAATTTTAACTTTTTCATACATAAGTATAGATATATTTTAAAATTATAATGCCCTCTAATTATTTTGATAGATATAGATACTATTTTTTATTTGACCTTTGAATATGCAAATCTAATTTCCTTAATGTTTTCCTCCCTCTGAATATTCTCTCTTCATTTTTCTGGTAAGAGACATTTTAGTCCTAAGTTTAAATAAGCATTTACAGAAGTGCTGTGCATACTTATCTTTTAGATGAGAACCCACTGATGCTGATTGGTGCTTCCTTTTTGAAACTGTTTTCCATCTTGAAGGTGGTAATCCAAGGGGATGCCCAGAAACCATATGGTTCAGGTGCCTAAATCATTACAGTTCCTTTTGGCTGGGACACATTTTGTGAGTTTCAATGAACAATAAAATTGCATTAATAAATATATATGTCTAATACTGCCTCTTAAAAATTCTATGTCGACTTTGTGGTGATGGGTTTCAAAAGCTTGGTATATCAATAAGTTATAACCTTATTGTAACCATGTTATCTAGTCTAATCAAAATAAAATAAAAATAAAATTCTCTGTCAAAATTACACTTACATTTTGAAATTAATATGTTGCTTTAAGGTGACCTGTCTAGAAGGCTGGAATTTTAGAAGAAGAATCATGACAATGAATCGGAAGATACAGAGTTGAAAATCCTTGTCCACTAAAGTCTTTTTGGCTTGCAAAATCCGCAGCAATTCTACTGAAGATTTTTCAGTGCCTCCTCTCCGTCTGTAATCTTACTCCTTGAATTATATGTCCCCACCCTATCTGACACACAAAGCATTCTCAGCAGAATGATTCCAAACCCAAACCAGAGACCAAGAGGTAGATTCTATGGGAACAATCATGAACTCCACTCCTTTGTCATTGATTTTTTTTTTCTTTTTTGAAAGGCACACCTGAGCTTGTCATCACAACTCAGATTTTAATTTCTGGCAGCAAAGCCTGTGACTCCAAAAAAAACACAGTAACTCAAAAAAAAAAAAAATCAATGTCTTCCTGGTTTGCTCACCTGCCGAATCAGCTCAATAACCTTCATCTCACACCAGATAGATCTAGTGAGTCAACCCTAATTTGCCCTTTGTCAGCACTCAGCAGTGTGGACAATGAGGAGTTCAGGGACCCCTGAGCTCTTTTTCAGTGGGCCAAAGATTCTCCCTTCACTTCTGAACTGCAGAACAGGAAGGATGGAAGCATTGGCTCAGACAATGACTCAGTAAGCAACTTGGAGAGTCAGGAGGCCTAACTGGGTTTGGTCCTTTCGGGTCTGGTCCTCAGAAGCCCTGGGCTGATAGAAGGAGAGAAACAGACCCCAGAAGTCCCTCCCTGGCACTTCTCCCACTTCCCCATCGAGTCTAACAAGCCAGGGAACAACTCTGGAGTTGGGTTTTCCTGTGAGAGGTCCGTGAGACCAGTGAGGGTCTCTCTCACCTGGGAAGGAAGCTCATCTGCTCACAACAGCTGGAGAAGGAAGTTTGGTGTGAAATTTTGACAAGAGAACTTCAGCTCTGAAAGACACTTCTCATCAGAAACTCTCAATCTACTCCAATGCACTTGAAAATTACTTCTGGGAAACATAAGAAACCGGCCAGTCATTGAATTATTTGCTTACTGTTCAACCCTCTGAATTCATGGAATAATGTCACCTTGACAGAAAGCAACCTCACAATAAGTGCAATTTCTATAAAGTGAAGCTTCATTTGCCTTCAAGGGACAAATTCTATTGCCAAAAAAAAAATACCACTGTACTTCTAGTAAGTGACACTCATTTTAATAGACCCTACAAAAATACAGTATTTTCAATATCTCCATAAAACAGTTCACCTACAAATATTCCTCTCAGAGCTTTGGCGATACCAATTTGATATCATTGGAAAATTCTAATAGACTACTCAAAACACTAACATGTAAAGTAAAGATAGTGAAGCTGTTATATATATCTAAAAAAGGGGATGGAGAAACTATATGGAAATACAAGAATGTATGTAACCAAATTCTGGGAAACTTCTGAAATTTCAAATAACTATCTAAATCAAACTAATCAGACTATTATAAAAAGAAAAATTTGGACAAAGTTTGATCATCTTCCGAGGACAGCTTTTCCAGAGTGAAAAAATAAATGATTCTGTAAGAAACCTACTTATTTTTCTCTTCAGTGAGACAGAATTCAGGATTCTATATATATTTTTAATATTTTTTTGGGGGAAAATACTTTTTAAAAAAATTCTGTCCACTAAACCCGGCACTGAAATTAATAATACAAGTGGACCATAGCTCTGAGAAATGATATTTGAAGTTTTATATTTAAATGCCAAAGTATTTTACATCACCCATCCTTAACTCCCTAATATCAGTCTTTCTTAATGATAAATCTTATCAAGCCCCCAAACTCATTTTTAATGATTTAAAAGTAGCAAATTAAATAAAGCAACACACAAATAAAGCCCGCATTTACAAGGAAAGGGGTCACAAGGATTTTACAGTTTGTAATCAACATAAATGTGAGCCTTTCCTTCTACCCATCATTCACTGCTTAAATTTGTGGTGAAAAAGATTTATCTACAACAATCTTTAGTTTGTTTCTTAACTCTGCATGTATTGTTATTAGCTAAAGGCATTGAACGAATTCTTTTGTCCTATCTTTATTCAGGTCCCAGAGACAAATGGCTAATATATGAAATATTTCACTCTGTGTCATGAGAATTTAGCAAATAAATATGGAACCCAATACAAACACTTTATACCATATGTACAGTTACTTTCATAAGGCATTATCATGTTATTTTTATTGAAAAAGATTCAATATAGTAAAGTCTTATTTTAAGATATATTTTCTTTCTCAATCCGAGATGTTTAGTTTATGAAAATATCGTTTTTCTCTATATTCTTTTTGTATAGATGCCAACATATACCTTGTGCTAGAAATATTTAATGGGAATTACAACTCTTTATATTCGTATGTTCTATATAAAGGCATAGACAACTTTGAGGCAGTGTTTCCGATGGAGAGCAGAATTCATAAAGAGCTTGTTGTGTGTGCTTCCGTGCTTGGAAATTATAGGAAATCCACTTTGAGAAGAAACTTATTTGATTAAAAACAAAAACAATAACAAAAACAAACTGCACCGATGCGCAGCCGGAGGCTGACAATTAAACTAATACGTAACCACATGAACATCATATTTATATAGTTAACATTTTTAAGGATGACCAGTGCTAACATATAGTATTATACATTTGGCACTAATGTTTGCCATTGGTCCAGCAATTGGCAAAATTTGTTTCTATGTATAAATTTATTTTTGAACATTAGGTCTGGCTAGACGTATCTTCACTATTTATAAAAAATATTTAAACAGTAAGCTCACGTTGAATAACTAGGTCTACTGTGTTCTGGAAACTCTTCAGTAGTAATACAGCTTTTTCATGTTCCATATGTACAAAACTATGTCCATTTGCCTGCAAAGACACAAATAAAACAGAGCAGTCAATGCTAGGTAGTTGTCACTGTTTCCTGTTTCCTGTCACTGTAAGGTCCAAGGAAGTCTTGAGCAGCTAGAAGTTGCTAGATTTTAAAATTCACAATAGAATTGCAGTTATGATGAAAAAAAGGGAGTTCCCTTAGATTCAGCACCATTTGCAAATTCAAATAGATCTCCTGTCCTGAGCATGTCCTGCCCAGGGCTGCTTTGGGCAGTCTGAGTCACTGCTAATCAGTGAAGCAGATTGGTGACAGACAGACAGATGTGTTTCTCTGGAGGGTTTGTTGTTTTTTTAAATTATGTTTAAACGTTGTGTTTATAATATGGTTGTTTCAATCATTCAATGTTCCAGCACCAACCCCACCATCAGAGTGACCTTCCCTTTAACATTGCCCCCTGTTTCCCACCCCGACCCCACACTTGTCCCCTTGGCAGGCACAAGATAGTTTTTTTTTTTTAATTAAATTTTTTTTTAATAGTGAGACATCATGAAGTACAGTTGCAGACTTACACATTTTTGTGCTTGGGTTTCAGTTATACAATGATTGAGTACCCATCCCTCCATCAGTGCCCATTTTCCACCACCACGGATCCCAGTATCCCTCCCACCCCCCATCCCCCCATCCCCCCTGCCTCTGTGGCAGGGCATTCCCTTTTGTTCTCTCTCTCTCCAAGATAGTTTTATATTGCTTGTTACAACAAAATGGTAAGTGGAATTATCAAATAACGAGTTCAGTAAAAGAGAATTTGTGAAAATTATCATATCTTACAAAGGCGTTGTCTGAGGACTTTTTGAGCTGTTGGTTGCTAGGTGAGCCTTTTGTGTTAATTGTTTCACTATTGAGCTTGTTTGGCTCGCATGTTACTTTCCTATCTAATTTGCTGTGCTCCAACTGTGCTGTGGAATTTTGAGGTGTCACATGACTGTGTACCCCAGGAGCTCCAGGATCTGTGGAACTCTGGCTACCCCTGTCTCAGGGAGGCCTCAGAGTTTTCAGCCTGAAGACCAGTGTACCTGTGAATTTTGTGGTAGTTCTGATATGTTTTGTTCCTGCAGGAATTTAGCATGAGATGATTTGGGAGGGTCCAAGGGTTGCTGTGTTCTTGTTACATATAGTCAGTGAAACCACCCAACTGTCATGGTCAAATATTCAGGAAAATGGCACAATTGTGCACAAACACCACAGTATAGTTACGTCTGATCTGAATTCAGTGAAAAGTTCTTTGTTTGTGCATATTCTTTTATGTTTTTATTGTTGTTATTTTGGGCCACACCTAGTAGTGTTCAGGGTTTACACCTGGATCTGTGCTTAGGAAACACTCCTGGCAATGCTTGGTAACCTTATGTGGTGCCAGGGATCAAACCCAAGTGCAGGGCAAGCACCTCTTTCTTTCTTTCTTTCTTTCTTTCTTTCTTTCTTTCTTTCTTTCTTTCTTTCTTCCTTCCTTCCTTCCTTCCTTCCTTCCTTTCTTTCTTTCTCTCTCTCCTTCCTTCCTTCCTTCCTTCCTTCCTTCCTTCCTTCCTTCCTTCCTTCCTTCCTTCCTTCCCTCCTTCCTTTTTTTCTTTCCTTCTTTCCTTTATTTTTATTTTTGTTTCTTGAGGGGAGCAACACCTCTTAGAGGTGCTCAGGGATTACTCTTGGCTCTGTGCTCAGGCATCACTCCCAATAGGCTCTAGGACCATATGGGATGCCGGGGATCAAGCCATGGCCAGCCATATGCAAGGCAAGTGTCCTATCTGTTGCACTATAGCTCCGGCCTCTTTCTTTCTCCTTTTTTTATTCCTTCTCTTTCTTTTCTTTCTCTTTCTCTTTCACTTGCTTACTGGGCCAGAGAAATAGTACAGTAGATAGGATGCTTGCCTTGCACAGAGCTAACCGGGGTTCACACACACACACACACACACAACCTTTTGTCCTAGGGTAAAGTCGTCACCCACATCATTGCAAGGATTTTCACTGAATGTTGGGGAAAATGCGTATCTTAAACATGAAAACCTGTAACACATTTAAATTAACTACCTAAAACTTATTACTTACAGTTTTCCCCTTGCAAAGATTAAAAAAAATGTTCAAGTAACTAATGGGTGTCAGTCACAACACTGTCCTGTATCACCCCCGCATCAACAGATGCTCCTTTCATTTTGTTTTTTATTTTTTTTTAACTTTTTTATTGAATCGCTGTGAAATAGACCATTACAAAGTTGTTCATGATTGAATTTCAGTCATACAGTATTCCAGCACCCACCCCTCCACCAGTGTATACATTTCCCAGCACCAGTGTCCCCAGGTTCCCTCCCCTCCCATGACCCCACCCCCATCCCTTCACCCCTTGCCTGCCTCTATGGAAGATGCTTTTATTCTCTCTCTCTCTCTCTCTCTCTCTCTCTCTCTCTAATATCCTTTTGGGCATTGTGGTTTGCAATACTGATATTGAAAGGTTATCAAAAATTTCCCTTACCTGCTTTTAACCCTCAGCTCTTGTCCAGCATGATCATTCACAGCTATTATTGTCATATTGGTCTCTTCTCTATCTTACCTACCCTCTGCCCCACATACACTTGTGGTTAGTTCCAACCATTGATCAGAAGGGACAGACATAGAATGACTGCATTCATTTGTGGTATATAATATATATATATATACAGTATATAATATATATGCAGTATATTATATAATATATATAATATAGTAGAAGAATAATATCCATGGCCAGGGAAAACAGGGGCTCCTTTCATTTCAAACTGTTCATTGGTAACTGAGAGAAAGTCATTTCATTTTATGCAAAACAAAATTTGTCCTAATACTGCCAGAGCTGTTTACACCCAAGTTAAACAGAGGCCCAAATGCCACTTATCAGAAACAAAATAGCTGTATATCACTTCAGTTTAAGTTCAAGAGACTTCTTCAGCCCTTTCGCTTCAGAAATTCAGATTTTTTCCAACTTCACATATGCATACCTTTTAAATGCCAGAAGTGGAGAAGGCGGAAGTGCCACAGAGGGAGAAAGCTACTGTTGGTTCAATCACCTAGAGAACTGACCTGACCTCTTATCAGTTTGGAAAAAAGCCAAAAGATGGTTGTGACATTGATTTAAGTGGAAGTGATTGAGTCCTAGGGATCAAAGCAAAAATTTAGTGGGTAACTGTTGGGTTGTCTTATTTCTGAAACAGAAAAAAAAAAGACAAGGTATAAAGGTATAAGAGATTCCAGCCTTGGGGATTAGAAAGATAATACAGTGAGTAGAGTATTTGCCTTGCACGTGGCCAACCTGGGTTCAATCCCCAGCACCCCGCATGGTCCCCTGAGTACCACTGGATGTATCCCTCCTCCCCCCTTCCAAAAAAGAGTTCTAACCTGGTAGGCTACTCCAAAAGCATCCCGCTTTGTCACTAACAGGGTAGGAAACGCCAAGATTGAGACTGTTGTTTCTCAAAAGGAATCAACAAAATGAATCTTTCCTGAAATAAACTAGGAATCCAACGAATGCGTTCATTTTAGGAAAACATTATCCTGAACAAATGGAATTGTCTTATAAAACACAAAAGAAAGAAAGGCATAATAAAGATGATATGCCTGTGTTTTATTTAAATTTTATGATGGAGGTAGAATACAAATAAGAAATAGGGCTCGTTCAAACTCAAATTTTCACCGTAGCTTTCCCGCGAAAAGGGGTTTCCTTCCTCATATCAATTCATCACGAGGACACAAACTGCGAATGCACAGTTTGGAAAATTAAAATGTAGAAACAAGCAGCATTAGAATGACTGAGGTGAGGATTATGAGTTTGGCATCAGGAAAAAGAATTTTTGTTTATTTTTGGGGTGAAATATGGCAGTGCTCAGGGACCCCTGTGGGGTGCTTAGGGGACTGCATATGGTGCAGGGATTCAAACCAGGGTCACGACCACAGTCACGGGCCACGTCAGGGCCTTATCCTTTGTACCATCTTTCCCTTTTCCCAGGAAAAAGGGCTTTTTAAATAAACCATGGGGGCTTCAAAAAGAATCCATTCAGGAGTCAAAGCGATGGAACAGTGGGTAGGGCGTTTGCCTTGCACGCGGCTGACTCGGGTTCGATCCCCAGCATCCCACATGGTACCCAAGCACCGTCAGGAGTGATTTCTGAGTGTAGAGCCAGGACTCCTGAGAATCACTGGGTGTCACCCAAAAAGCAAAAAAAAAGTGTAACCAGCAGACAGCCAGCGGGGATGACTGTGTCTCCTCTCCTCAGGTTCCATGTAGCTGGTGCTTTGTAGCTGTCATCACCTCTGGCTCCCTTACTAATTCTCTCTTCCACCTCATCCTCCTGGCTGCCTCTGGTGGGCTTCTATGACACGTCCTTGGGGGTCCTCAATGTCAGGGGTGAACAGCCCTATCTTTGGAGACATGCTAGACTTGTGACCAGAACAAAACTTCTATCTAGGTAAGCCGCAAATGTGTATTTCCTGCAGGACTCCTGGTCTCTTTATAAATTTCTAGATATATTTGGCTGGTCCTCTCCACGGGGCTATCTGGAAAACACCCTTGGCCACCTCTCAGAGAAGACTCCTTTCTGTGCCTGAGGTGACCCTGATGCAGCATTTCCGGCCACACGTGTCAATGCTACGTAGCTGAAGCAGAGACTTCCGGGTTGTTGCTGCATGCATTACCTCCTTAGGGGCTGTGACCTCAGCTCTGAGTTTAGACACTTTGTATGCGATCATTTCCTCTTTCCTCAGTGCTAAGCACAAGTGCATTCATTGTCCACAGCTATGATTCTTTTATTTTGGGGGGGCGGGGAGCTTGGGGAAACACATCCAGCAGTGCTCAAGACTTATACCTCAGTGCTAAAGACAAGTGCATTCATTATCTGTGCTATGATTCTTTTTGGGGTTTGGGGAAACACATCCAGCAGTGCTCAAGACTTATACTCTGCACTCAGGGATCAGCCCTGGTAGGGCTCAGGGAATCATACGGGATTCTGGGGTTTGGATTTGG